ACCTCGACTGAGTCATCGCAGTCCAACAAATAAATTATGGTGGACGCTCTGTTGAAAATATAATTTCCGAGGTCTGTAACCAAATACAATCGTCAATACAACGAAAGTATGCAGCGGCCATTAAAACATAGATTTCAGGGGGCGGATAAGTTTCAGTCATGCCCCTGCAAATTTCAACCATTACCCATTTTAACCCAGTTAAAAACATCTTTGCTAGATACAGACCGCCGCTGAATTCAAGTCGTTGTAATTACGTCAATTATCGTCCAGAATCATTCGCATAAATATTACATAAAGATGCCTTAACATTTCCCTATCCAATTTGCATACGTATTTTAAAGTTTATTATGCAGGCGCATTTTAATATTTATTGCATCATGTCGGCAATTAGTTATTCCTTCGCTATTCATTCTGTGCATGAATATAAAAAATCCATGCATGATTCTGGTAATCATGCATGGTAAGCAGCGACAAGCAACTACCAATTAGCGGTCGCCAGATTTCCCAACTTTGGCAAACTTGAAGTAATTTTATCTGGCTTTTGGAGGTTTCAAGACTCATTAACTGCTTTTGCTGAAGGGCTATGTTTAATTAGATAGCCGTAGTCACCCGTCAGAATACAAAATGAAAACGGTATTTGTTTAACCGGATTTTCTTATATTTTAGAGACATAGATCTTCGGCTAATAAGACCTCTCGTATTTTGCCGAGAAAAGATGGTTATGGATTTCGTTAAGAATGTAAGTGTTTTCTTTGGCATATAACGTTTTCCCAGTTAAATTATAGAATGGAATCGCGTGCACATGACCCTAACTGCTGAAATATCACAACTGCTCCTTTATTTTTATAAGATACTAGCGTATACAAAGTGTAAAAAAAATTGCGTCCGATTCTATGAAGCAAATGTCTGACGAATCTTCACCTGGGTAGTTAATTTTAAATTCAGCAACATGTTTGAACGGATTCTGAATGCGCATCAGCCCAGTTTATATAACCGAAACGAGAATACCTACTCAAGATGGTGGGTTTGAATACACATTATTCGAATGGCTCTAAAAAGCATCCGGAAAAGATCACGATTAACGTTCACAAGACGTCTGCTGCTGAGAAACCTCATGGCTGTCTTTGCAGTCACAGGCGTTTGAGGTCCAAAAGTTGCTTGTTCGTAATTACTGGAGATTGTTGAGTGTAGTCGTTGCAAGAGACAGGCATCAGCAGAAGTAGCCCTTTCATTGCATGTCGACTGTACGCTTCCAAAAACGTCTCTTTTTAACATGTGGTCCAGGTTCAACGAGAATCTGTTTGGGACTAAGCGCAATTTTAGAAGATTTCGCAGCCCTGTTATAACCCGTTTAAGACCCTACTTATTATATTTTCCCGTAATCTTCGCCAAGCCGACTGACATTTTGGTCTAAGCTATAAACTGACCGTCAGAAGTAATATTTATAAATTCGCAAAACTCTTTGCTGCTCTGTCCGTGCATAGAATTGTTTGCCTTCTGTTGAATATGACGATTAAGTGTCTTCCTATGTTCGCACTGCTGATGCTTCAAGGAGGGTCTACCAACTCTGACGAGCATTTGCCCAGTGTGTCGGAAAACCAAGGTGGAGCAAACTCGCCTAAAGGAATTACTCGAAGTGGAGGAGGACAGAAACCCGTATGTATTTGCTAGCATCACCACAGCCCTTTCTCCACTGGTTCACCTTTGCCCAACGACAGAGGATTCCATAAGGAAACCGTCAACTTCATGGCTTTCTACCGGAAAGGACGCCTCGAATTCTGGCAAGTTTTCCTGCTAAAGCTGTCAGGCTACTTTGGACAATGACTGAAGGAAACGTGGAGATTGCGTTCTCCTTGTCTGGCCTTCATTAAAAAAGGACGAAAGGTCTGTTTTTATGGACACGGATCTGAATGATTAGGCACTTGTACTTTATTGAGTAAATCCAGCTGGAGAATCACTTGTTGATTTTGTTCCCGCTTATCTCTAGGTCAATTTCCGGGGTTATCGTAAACATACAGGTGATAGACAGTCCTTACTTCGCATTTCGTTCCAAACGATGAATACAATGCAAGAGTGAGTGTGCTCAGGTTGCGTTTCTATAACTTCAAAGGAAGGATCTTTCCAATCCAGAGACAACTGTTGCTAAATTATTCTAGACCTCCGTCTTGTTTGGCTGTCCTTTGGCTAACTAGCTAGCTAGCTTCACAAAAATTAGGGGTCTCTTGGTAAATTACTCGGCCGACCTTTTAAAGCTTCTCTGTTTTGGGCGCAAGTGACTTAAAAGTATTCACTCCGATTAGCTTATTCAAGCTTAGTGTCCTGATAATGCCTTTCTAAAAGAATATTTCCTCAATTTTTAAAAACATTATAAACATGCGAAAATTCCCACGGAAGGATTCAGAAGATCAGTTAGCCACCACACGTGCGCTTTCGATAAATTCTCCTCTGGCCAGTATATTTATATGGGAACCGTGTACAAGTAAAATATGTGGGTGGTAAGAGAAATCGATTACAGTTCTTCTTGTCACACGGGTATGAGAATAGCGGAGGGAGGTAATAAGAGACAGTGAGTGTTAGGGGGAAGGGAAGGATGGCGCTGAGAAGTGTATACAGATAACCGACTTTTGGCCACGGCCGACGTGGAGCTTTTACGGAATTTTTCTAAGCGCACAAGACCGGATTTCGTAACATGATGGCGGTCGCACTGCCTCGGTATCAGAAAACGCCACTGGCGCTCAACAAATTACTACTTCGATCCTGTCGAACAGTTGACGCATTATATGCGTGAATCGCTCAACGCATCCGAATTTCTGCCCGATTCTCCGCATCCCACCGCGATTCACTGCGTCGAGGCACGAATTTGGCAGAGAGGAGGGTCCACATCTCCTAACACTTCCCTTGCAGACGGCGGGCGGCGGAGATCGTGTCAATAATCCTGACGTAAATGCCAATGTTTTCACAGACTAACGAATGATATATCACGAGCCCTAAGTATTGAGGGCAGTAAGCAAAACCGGTTACTGAATGAAACTGATATTCAAAATGTGAAATGACCCGAAAGCAGAGCACGGCAGCGAAGCGGTGGCTATCCAGGAGTGTTGTTCCCGTCAAGTTAAAACAAGCAATACGGTAAAAAAGACGGGACTATACTGCCAAAGATACATTAGTCTGGTACCCCGCCACACTCCTACGGTGTCATCGAAAGTCACATTGGCTGTCCGGCAGATTTCCTTGCTCTAGGTGGCTGCCGAAACGGTTGAGAAGGATGCAAGTGAAGACCTTCCGAGAGATGTTAATCAATGAGATTTCCCTGTGTTTATCACAGAGTTACCAATTTCCTTTCTCCTTGCAAATGTTGACGGTTGTTGTCGTCACCAGACTGCATGATGACTGAGGAATTCCTGCCCACCCACCCCACTTGCCGCCCTGACTAACGAGGTTAGCCCGTTCTAGTCTGACCGTCATCAGCTATAGATACTCCGAGGAGCGGTATGAAACTCACCTCTGACGATGGCAGCTTGCCTGCCTTTCAAACGTCAGAGTAATACAAGCAATTCGGCGGGAAGAGTACGGGCCTCCACGTCACTGAAGATTTTATTCGCCTTGTTAACGTAGTCATTTTTGTCCATGATGACAATGAGCTACCTTTGTCAGCGAGAAGGACAACAATGTTGTGATCCGATCTCAGTGATGTTAATCCTTGCACTTCTTCGGCCGACAGGGTTTGCTGATGTCATATTTGCCAGGGGATACCAATGGCACAGCTGGGTATGTGAGCACGCATGTCTTCTGACAAGTCCAGAGAGGTCCAGAGGACTCTAAATCTAAAGCCTTCATTGATCCCCGTATAGGCTCAAATATTCGTATTAACTCCCAAGCCGAATCCGAGGATGCTTGTGTCAAAGGACGTGTTCCATATTCATGCACTAATACCTGGGAACAATGCAAGGCACAGGAGGCCAAAATGTATTAGATGCCATAGGACATTCTGATACTACGTCGGTGGAACAAAAACCTTGCAGGTGCGTGATGAACGCGATTAAGACTGCGAAACAGGAATATGGCCTTTAAAATACAACCCGAACTTGATTAGGATAGCTCAGTCAATGCTTATTTTCTATCGACTACCTTTTACAAAATGTAAATATTACGCATTCATTCCACAGAAATTGGTGACTTCCTTTCAAATGTACATACCGACGTCTTTAACGTACCAAACGAAGCTTACAACATAATCCACGGAGCAAACCTCCGGCATTCTAGCTAATGCACGTGTTTTAGCAAGTAAAGTCAGTAAGTATTTACATTCTGCTGACAGCCTGATAGGCAAAGTGTATTTCATGCGATCATTTCTCTGAAGCAAACGGACGTTGGCTCAGATATGGATATCAGATTTGGATTTCTCAGTACGAACAGAAGAGCATGAACTAAACTGTAGGACTAACTTGTGGAAGATTAAGAAAAATTTGATGAGCTGAATATCTCGTTGCACTATCGAGCAGCGACACTAAGCAGATGAAACGCGCGATGAACCAGTGTCTGGAGCACCAACACACCAGATGCCATTGCCTCAACTGCCTACATTGTTTTCGCCCATTCAGCCACTCACATGCGCCTTCATGGGAACCTGCGGTAAATCCCCGCAGACATGATCACATTACCACACATTTCCTCATTAACACATGCACCGCAGATGACCACCACCAACACCTGGCATTATCAGCACCTCCCAGGTAACTGAGAAGTGTGCTTTTCGGCTACTTTCTTCATGCAGCCCCCCCCCTGCTGCATGTGGGGTCAAAGCGCTTTACTCCCTTGTATGTGTGAAATGTTGGTGTGTGCGCACGGGGAATCTGGCCGCGTGTGTGGCACGCGCAGACGGACTGTTCTCAGTTTTGTCAGTCATCTCTCAGCGTCAGCTGGTTGACCGGCCCGGGCAATGGACTGGTGCACAAGGCAGGGTAGAGCGAGTGAGGTCGACTCTCATCGCGTAAGTCCTCACTATCACAATCTGGCACTCTTGGGACTATCACGGTGCGTCAAAAGCCGTGGCTTGGAATGTAGCCAAGTGACGCTTTAACCCAAACCACGCAGTCAGCCCAGTTGCGTGTTTGTGTTGAGTGGACGATTGGTGGATTGGGAGTCAGGCTTCAATGGCTCCCTCTTAATGACACTCTTTCGCGCATGTAAAATCTGAACCGCTCCTCTTTTTGCGTGTAATCCTGGTGAGTGTGCGCAGACGGACTCTGCTCTGCCAGTCATTGCGTTCACTCCCCGCATCGGACAAGCAATCGGCCCGGACAGCAGACGGGTGTCTGGAAGTGGGAAGAAAGAGTGAGATCGACAGTCTTAGCACACATTCCTCATTGAAAGCAATCTGACGCGCCAGAATCCATCACGGTGCGCTAAACATCGTGGCCAGGAAAGCCGGCAACTGAGGGGCTAACTCGCACCTCACAATCAGTCCAGTGTGTGTTCTGTGGACTGGCCAACTGGTGGACTGAGAGTCAGACTGCAATAGCTCCTTCTTATTGTGATATCTGGCATAATCACACATGTCGGATGCGTGCCGCCCGCCCCCTTTTATGTAGAATTCCAATGCTTGTGTTTGGGCGGTCAGGTCGTGTATGCGGCATGCGCAGACGCATCCACTAGCTACGTTAGCCTCTGCACTTACTCCCCACACCAGACGACCGACCGGTTAGGACAGCCGTCTGGGCCTGGGAATTGGAATAAAGAGTAAGGTCGACGGTCTCCGCACATATTCCTCACTATAAACAATCCGACGCGCCTGAGTCAGTCACGGTGCGCTAAAAGCCGTGGCTAGGAACACCGGCAACTTACACGCTAACTCGCACCTCGCAGTCAGCCCAGCGTATGTTTTTGTGGAGTGGCGGACAGGTGAGCTGAAAGTCAGGCTGCAGTGTCCCTTCTTAATGTGCCATCTGCGCTACTCCCACTCCGCGGGATCCGAGCCATTCCCCTCTTCTTTTATCGTGTGTAGACTCCTGCTCATTGTGCGTTGTGCATGTCCCTTCCCAAACGGGTCACGCGGTAGATGCGCTGGACCAACACGTGGGTCATGTCGGATCCTGGCAGGCGTTATCAGAATGCTCACGATGACAAAGGCCAGCATCTCGGGGTGCGACGGTAGACCCAGACGCCGCGCGCACTAGGACCTCTGCCGCCCCCCCCCCATTGCTTTTGTTGGTTAAAGCCCTGGTCACTTGCTGTGTGGACAAGGGGGTATGGAGTGGAGTGCCAAGTTGCGGGCTTGACCATGCCATCCACCTGCACCCTCCGCTGTCTCCGGTCTTCTTGGCTATGTCTTAGCAGGGGGTCCAGGTTGGGGAACAGGAGGGAGTGGGGTAAATGCCGTGCAAGTCTACTATCACTATAAACTAATTCACGCACGTCACCGTCCCTGCTTCACCGTGCTCTGGAGCACACGGTGGACATCGTTGGCAACGACGGTTAAACTGTTGTAGACCAGGGGTTGTGGTGGTACGCCTAGGTGTGAGTCCGGCTGTGCCAGCCACCGGTGCCCTCCCCAGCCTCCGGTCTTCCTGACTCTGTTTTTATACCGGGCCGTGGTGGAGGAGGGAGAGAAGGTGTGGTATACTCGGCGAAAGTCTATTATCCCTATGAGCTAACCCGCGCTCAAGTCACCGTGCATGCTCTCAGCTGCTGTGGGGCACACGCTGAGTATCGTCAAAGTCGACGGTCGGTCTGTCGTACTGTGTTGGATAACTTCTGTAAAAGGTGGATGTTGCGCGGTGACTCCGCTGAAGCTAACTG